TTAAATTTATAATAACTTATAAACTTAACAAGATTGAAAATGTAATTTAAATAAATTATATATTTTGAGTTATAACAATTAATGAAATGTTTAAATATAATTTATATTTTTTTAATTGTTTGGGCTTAATATGTTTACATTTTTTGTATCATAATAGTTTTAAAAAATAATTAATTAATAAAATATTTAGAAATTATTAAGAAAAAACTTGAATCCAAGTTAAGGTATTTGATAACTCAAATTCATAAGTAACTTTGAACTCAGTTGAATACTTATGAAATTGAACAAATTTTAACTATTTTAAAATCCATAAATATTCAAACTTAAATTTCTAAGATGAATTTAAGAGTATGAATACTTAAATACTCATTTATTAACAATCTTACATATAAGATGTATGAATTAATTAAATTAATTATATTTATATTATATTTTAATAAATTAAATAAATATATATTAACAAATATATAAAATTAAAAATATAAAAATTAGCTTTCATTGACCTTTCGTGCAATTATTGTGCCAAAACATACTAGTGAGAATAATAAACAATTATCGAACTCCACTAAACACTGCACTTAATTGAGGTCGTGAATTGTTCATCAGGCTTAAAAATCGAATTTTTAATTATTAATATATAATAATATTAACTTATTAATTATTATTTTCGTAAAAAAAAAAAAACAATTATCATCGGGATCGTCCTGTTTACCATCTACCCCACCGCTAGTCTATCGCATGACCTAACAAGGAATGTGCTGTTGTAGTGTGACATGGCAGTGTCCACCCCTATATCATGACCGTGGTCCACTTTTATTAATTAAATAAATCTGATGTACTTTCTTCCATTATGGTTCCACAGAGTAGTCACATTTTCTACAATGACAGGCAACGTCACAACAAAAGAAGGACGGCGCAGCCTTGATTAGCTGCACCAATTGGAAGACAGCAGAGCAAAGGTCATTGTACCTTCTCGACGAAAGAAATTTTTTATCATTAAGATACGTGAAAAAAAATATAATAAATATATTTTTTTATAATTAATTTTTATTTAATATATAAATTTTAATTTTAATTTAATTAATTAAATTTATTTATATATTAATAATATTAAAATATTTATTTATTTTTATAATTTTAATATAAATTAATTAAAAAATATTTATTATATTTTTATTTTATATTTTTAAAACACAAATTAAATAAATTTTTTATTAATTAAATTCAATATCCTTTCGACATCCGAAAATCCCAATGATTGCTTCTTCCTGTACCTCATTTATTATCCTCATCCAATCCCCTTTGAATGAATATGGTTGGCCACGCTGAATCCGTCATTTGTACATAAAAATGCTTAGTTGATTAGCATCGATGTGACCTAAGCAATGAATTCATTCTTAACCATTTCTTCAGGAGCCTCTATTGTAAAGAAAAATACCAACTTTAGAAAATATGGATTAACGAGTTAGGGGAACCTATTATAAGACAAGGGGAGATTTCATTTGTAAAATATGAA